CCTTGTAGTCTTGAAGCCTTGTTTCATTTTCCAGCAATCAGAGAATTCCCAAACCTTAAGCTTAATTGTTTGGGCTTTGTAGGCATGCTCATTTGTCTCATTACTGTGAACAATTGAATTTCTCCAAGTCCAAGCCATCCACACCGCCACTGCAAAAATTAAAGCCCATGGAGCATTGAATCTCACATAGATAAATTAAAATATGTTTGATAACAAGTTCTATTTTTATTCCGAGAATGAGAATTGTGTTTGATAACACAACAAATAATATAATAAAAAATAATTCTTATTAAACATAAAAAATTGGATCATCATTTTCCTTTCTATATGGTGGTGGTGGCGGTAGTGGTGGCGATGTCGTGGTGATGGTGATGACATGGTGGTGGTGGTAATGGTGGTGATATAGTAGTGGTGGCGATAGTGGTAGCGGTGACAGCAGTGACTGCGACGATGGTGGTGGTGGTAGCGATGGTGGTGGTGATGGCAGTGACTGCGGTGGTGGTGTCAATGGCTGCGGTGGGGGTGGTGGTGATGATGGCAATGGCTGCGGCAGTGGCAGTGATGGTGGTAGTGGTAGCAGTGGTGACAGCAATGGCTGCGACGGTGGCGATGGTGGCGACAATGGTGGTGATGGTGACAACAGTGACTGCGACGATGGTGGTGATGGTGGTAATGGTAGCGGTGGTGGTAATGGTGGCAATGGTGGTGGCGACAATGGTGGTGGTGGTGGTGATGGTTGCAATAGTGATGTCAATGGTTGTGGCGGTGGTGATGTATGTGACTGCGGCAGTGATGATGGCAGTGGTTGCGACGATGGTGGTGGTGGTGGCGACAATGGTAGTGGTGACAATGGTAGTGGCGACAATGGCTTCGATGATGGTTGTGGTGGTTGGTTGCGTTGGTGGTGGCGGTGGCAGTAGCATGGTGGTAGTGATGGGTGGAGCGGAGGTGATGGTGGTAGTGGCATCGTGGTAGTGGTGGTGGTGACGACGATAGCGGCGACGATGGTGGCGGTGATCGTGTCAGGATGATGGTGGTGGTGGTGATGATGGTAAAGGTCGAGAGTGATTGAGAGAGATAAGTTTTTCTCATTTTGTGCCCGGGAACAAAAAAATAGAAATTTTTCTATTTGTTTTCTGTTCCCCAGCACAAAAAATAAATCGGTTTTACCAAACGAGTTTTTTTATCCATTTTTGTTCTCGGGAATAAAAATTAAAAAAAAAATTAATTTCAGGAAGATTATCATTCACACCCTAACTTATTCAAGTAGTAATAGCCAACTAATATAAATGGAACTACATGTCTTCACAACATAAACTACAAAATCTAGTGGTCAATAATTGAAATGCAGTACATAAACCAAGGGAAGGCTGCCTACTATAGATCCACATAATGAGTCTAAGCTTCCTTAAACCCTCAGTGCAGTGAAAGCTTTTTAGCATCTTGTTGCCCTTTCTGATAGGAAAGTTATAGAAATTTAAATAACTGCTATGGATAAGTTTAGTGTGTGTTCTTTTAAAGGATATAAATTGTGTCTTTTATTTTTTTATTCTATGTGTTTCCGATAGTACATAATTATAATATAAAAAGTTGTTTTTTTTCACTTTCCATGTCAGCTGATGTGATTGAAGAAAGAGAAAAAAATAACTTTTCATGTTATAACTATGTATTACCGGGAGTACATAGCGTAAAAAAACTAAAAAGACATAACTTATATCTTTTTAAAGCACAAATAATTTTCCCGCTCAGGATATATATATATATATATATATATATATATATATATATATATATATATATAGGGAAAAATATTTCTCTAGCAGTTTGAGATAAGTTTATCTCCGGCTACCCCAAAACTACGTCGTTTTATTTATTTATTTTCTTATATTAATTGATTCACCTTTGAATGGTTATGATTCCATTTTTCTTTCTCTTCATTTATCACTCATTGATCCATCTTTGTACGGTTATGATTTAGTAGCCGGAGATAAGATTATCTCAAGCAGCTTGAGAAACGATAAGCCCATATATATATATATATATATATATATATATATATATATATATATATATATATATATATATATATATATATATATATATATATATATATATATATATATATATATATATATATATATATATATATATATATATATATATATATATATATATATATATATATATATATATATATATATATATATATATATATATATATATATATATATATATATATATATATATATATATATATATATATATATATATATATATATATATATATATATATATATATATATATATATATATATATATATATATATATATATATATATATATATATATATATATATATATATATATATATATATATATATATATATATATATATATATATATATATATATATATATATATATATATATATATATATATATATATATATATATATATATATATATATATATATATATATATATATATATATATATATATATATATATATATATATATATATATATATATATATATATATATATATATATATATATATATATATATATATATATATATATATATATATATATATATATATATATATATATATATATATATATATATATATATATATATATATATATATAGGAAAAGTATTTCTCCAGTCACTAGAGATAAAGTTATCTCCAATGAGCTTAAAATGACGTCATTTTGGAGTTATAAGATTAAAAAATTATAATGATAAATACTAATATAACCCTGCAATATATTAAAATTATCAAATTACTTTGATTTCTGCCCCAAAACGATGTCGTTTTGGACTCACTGGAGATAACTTATCTCCATTGACTGGAGAAATCCTTTGCCCTATATATATAGAGAGAGAGACAGAGGTATGATCATTTGACTCTGGTGTCAAATTTAAAGTTTGACACCTCAACTGAGAGCCATTAGATCAATAAAGATCAACAACTCTAATTTGTAAGCACGTGATACCATTGATCTTTTTTGATCTAACGGCTCTCAGATGAGGTGTCAAACTTTAAATTTGACACTGGTGTCAAAGGATCTTACCTCATATATATATATTTATATATGGATCAGGATCATTTTACACCGGTGTAAGATTAATAAGTCTTACACTGCATCTTAACCGTTGATTTCTGTGCATCTAACGCTTATAATTTATGAAGTCATATGAATTAATTAATATTAATTAATCATTAATTACACTACAAATGACAACCGATGAGTTTCGTCCAACAACGATTGAGATGCGGTGTAAGACTTGTTAGTCTTATACCAGTGTAAAAAGATCCTGCCCTATATATATATATATATATATATATATATATATATATATGGCTTTAATTTTTCTACAGTGAATGTAGATAAGTTATCTACATTTGCTCCAAAATGACGTCCTTTTGGGTTGAAAAATTAAAAAATTATAATGAAAAAGAATATTATGACCCTGAAATAAATTATAATTACAAAAATATCTTGATTTCCACCTCAAAACGACGTCGTTTTGGGCTCAATGTAGATAAGTTATCTACATTGACCGTAGAAAAAGCGAAACTTTTATATATATATATATATGGGGAGGGATCATTTGACTCTAGAGTAAGACTTACAAGTCTTACTCCTCATCTCAACCATTGATTTCCGTTCATCTAACGGGTATTATTTATTAAAAATTAATAATTAATTAATTGGTATAGATAACCGTTAGATGGACGGAAATCAACGGTTGAGATGAGGAGTAAAACTTGTAAGTCTTACTCTGGAGTCAAAATATCCCTCCCCTATATATATATATATATATATATATATATATATATATATATGGTTTAGTGTGTGTTCTTTTAAAGGAAGTAAGTTGTGTCCTTTTAGTTTTTACTTTATATACTCCCTGTTGTACATAGTCATAACATGAAAAATTACTTTTTTTTCACTTTTCTCTTCAGCTGATGTGACTAAGGAGAAAGAAAAAAATCACTTTTTCATGTTATAACTATATACTACCAGAAATATATAGAATAAAAAAATTAAAAGGATACAACTTACATCTTTTTAAAATACAAATAATTTTCCCATATACATATTCCCAGTTTTGAAATCTTAAGTTTATATATTAGAATCAAATTTCTAAATGAATCACGTACATATACTACTATGTCTGTCTTTCCGTGGTTTTTTTTTTTAGGAGTGGGATCAGATTGAACTCCTAACCTTTAGGTCAAAAGTCTCTTATATCATGTAAAATACAAACTGCCCTAACCACTTTAACCATTCGATCGGTGAAGGATTGTGATTGATTCCATAAACTCAAACAGGTACATGCCACCCTTACACTGACAATGACCTGTTTATTAATCCTATGGGACACCATTTCCTCCAAAATATGCAATGTCATAAAAGACATCCACGGATCACTTGGGGAATTGTAATATATGTCTGAAACATGCTAACAACAATCTTAAAGGGTAAAGACAATAGATAGGAACTCATCTAGTTGACTCTTTTTTTTATGCAATTAGTTGACCCAATATTTCACTCAACCTACCTTCTACCACAACCAATAAAATGATAATTAATTCAATATTTAACATCTAGGGGGCTATAAGGATAACCAATGCCATTGCTCTGTCAGAAAAGAGAGAAAGAAAAACATAGATCTCACATGTTTTTATGTGTATAAGAAATAAATTTATCTCCTACAACATAAAAAATATTAAACCCATAACATAATTTCATTAATCAATTTCCTTTTTACTATTTTAAGCAACATTTTTCACATGACAGATATAGATATACCTGATGGTGACACTAAGGGTATGTGCGCCAAAACTCACTTCTAGATCTCGTATAAAACTCAAGCTCATTGGAATTCGTGGTGAAAAGAAAACTATAGCAAGTCATCATATCAATAGAAGAACATTGAACGGAAGGAAAAGAAAAGGTATATGCACTAAGTTGAACTATAAACCGGTAAAACTACAGCCTCAACTTGTAATACACGTTACGGTTAGTATGGTAAGATTAATGGATAATTGATCCATGCCAGGACTCTAAGATGTCTCGAGTGAATTGTTGAACTTCCTATCATTTCCCTTCAGTATCTATGATTTGATCTTTTTGTATTTGAACAGGTTGCATCTCTAATTTCTTTTTCTCCTTGAGAATTACCTGCCTAGGCATTACTTCTAACAGAAAGCTTCCCCCATTCCACACTGCAGCAGAAACCTTCAGTAATTGGAAAACTACAGACAATTCATATGACAAGAATATGGGAACAGTCAGTGCCGTGGTAGCCACAGTAAATATGCCTTGAAGAACAATGTACATTAACAAGCGATTTTGATCCCCAAGCAAGCCACTTAAGCGCCACCACATATTGTTTGCTTTCTGTGCTTTTTTGGAGAGTTCCCTATGAAGCATTCAAGTCAATAAAATGAGAAATGTCAAAGCATGATCTAGTCTACTAAAAAAAAGTCTAAAGGTATACATTTAGCTAAACTGAAAGAGAAGAATTTAACTGCAAAAGGGGTAGTTACTGTGGAAATGGTCATTAATTACCTGTAGGAAGTCATGACTTCAGGATCTCTTAAAAGCCGTTGTCGGCGTAAGACATTGACAATGAGGAAGTATAGAACCTGCCACAGAGTGTAAACCACAAAGGGAACCAGAAACAACCACGTCCAGAGATAGGATTTAACTTCAACATCCCATGTAGCTCTTCCAGCACTTCCCTCTGGTCGCATGGCTTCTAAGGTTGCAGGATTCCACCATCGAATGGTAAAGAAAACCAATCCTGAAAAGAACTATTGTATTAAAGGCATAATAAAAAACCAAAATGGATAGAGTAAGAAACATAAAGTTTACATGTTTCTCACTACTCCATTCCAATGGTAGCATCTCTCTAATATTACGATGTGTATGTAGAAGTGCAAGTTGTTCCATAGATCAACAAAAATTAAAATCACATATTTTCTCAAGACACAGGATAAAATATAGTGAATAAATATAAGGATTAAGGTGGATATTGTTAGGTGACACAGAACAAAACAAAGAGTTGTGATAGAGAAATATAAAACCATTAAATGTAACCTCACCCAATAGCTTAATCTTTTGGGTTGAATTGGTTCTTTACAAGTTGACATAACTATCACAAGTCCATTCCAATGGTTGCATCTCTAATATTATGATGTCGATATAGAAGTTGAAGTCGTTAAACAGATCAACAAATATTAAAATCACATATTTTCATAATACACTGGATAAAATATAGTGAATGAATATAAGAACTCAGGTGGATATGGTTAGGTGAAGAAGGCTCATATATAAATGGGTTAATATCAAACAGAGATAAAGTAATACATGGAAGCGTTGATTAAGAAATGAAGACATACAAAAATAAGCAAGAGTATCTTCAACAGAAGAAAGGATAAGGGTGAATTATTATTACGGTGGTAGTCAACAGAAAAGAAATGAAAATTCCACATAAATGGAAGTTGAAAATAAGAGAATATAATGTTACACATTAACACAATAAATATCAGAGATTAGACCAAAATATTTAAAACGTACCAGGTAAAAGATGGATGAGAACACTGACAATTTTGTCGACAGAACTGAAAACCAAGCTGCATCGCCAAACAATCAAAGCCCATGCCAATGGTCCCTGCAAGTTGCAACAGCACTTGCATGAGTCACAAAGTTGACAATGAACCCTTCTTCTGCCAAGATGTCAAATTACCAGGGATAACATGCTTACCTCAGCTAATGAGAAGCAAACCAGAAAAAGCTTTTCATTCTTTGGATAAAAAAGAAGGTAAACCAAGAAGATTGTATTGGCATAATAGCAAAAATCCTGAAAGGCATGAACAATCATGTAAGTAACTAACTTGCTTTCATCACTTATGTTTCTACAGTGGCAACTTTAAATTCACAAAACACACTTTCTAATGATTTTGAAGCTTTGTGCCTCAGACATCATTCAACTTAAAAAATGCAGTCTTTTTAACAGCACAGTTAACATCATCAACTCTGGTTTTGACAGTTACAGATTATTGTCTGTGATCCCTTCCCACAAAATGCATGTGGATGCTACAAGATTACAAAAAAAGTGCCAATAAAACTCATACTCATCCTAAAAACAAATATATGCTCCCAGAAGCAAATAATAGTTTCATAGATGCACAATAAACTTCAAAAACAAAACTCGAGATATCATCACTTACCAGGAGATAGTAATGCCATTTCTTGGACCTATAGTATATCCAACGAAGAGGAACAAAGACGACGTAGAACACACAATAAACTAAGGGAATATCTTGGGGTCCTGGTGAAAGAGGGTAATAAAAAATGAAAAACATTAAAAGAACAATTGAATTTGTTCAAATAAAAACAAATCCACTGCACTGTATCAGTCAGATTAATCAACTTACTTGCCCCTAAAAGGAAGCAAAACCCACCAAAGCCAAGAACCCCCAAAAGATGAGTCACCTGAACATTTATAGATAGGGAAAAAAAAAACATCAAAATCGAAACTTGTTCAATATTGACATACCCAAATGGCCATACAAGATTTAAATTAAAAAAAAAAATAAAAATACGACCTTGTTGATGAAACTTTCGTGTTCTGCAGCTTGTTTGGCAAGCTTAACGGCTTGTTTGGACAAGACCTCCTTCATTTTGAGCCAAAATCAAACCAAACCCATATTATAAAAATCAAAAACAGATATTGTCATGCATGGAAATCAAATAAAAAAAATCATGGTTTGAACATAATGTACCTTCGACCTATCCCTGAACCTACGCTTCGCTTTTGCAGAGGATTCGCTGTCTGTGTACTCTGCATGGTTTTCGTTGTCAGACATTGTCACTAGTTAAACCGAGTGAGATTGAAAAAAATATTTGGATTCAAAAGGAATAAAAGTTTCCTTGAGAGGCACCCAATTGTATACTATAGATGGAGGACAAAGAAAGATGGTGCAGTTTATAGATTTCAGGTAACCAGAACACAGCTGAGGAAATAAGCCTCTCTTTGTTATGTCATCCAACTATTCTATGCATTTCTTATTGGAAAAAACTTATAACTTTGTGTTATTATAAATTTTAACTATTAATTTTCATCAATTAATGATTAAAATTTATTGAGTTTTATTGTAAATTAATAATAAATTAATAAATTTAACCCAATAAATTTTAACAATTGATTGACAGAAATTAACGGTTAGGATCTAAAGTGAAACTAAATTATATAAATAACAAATGTTTTTCTCTTTCTTATTTTGATTAAGATTAGGGAAATAATGGATGCGTTTATATATGTTTTGAAAACAATAATAATAATAATAATAATGTTTTATGATATTTTTTAATATTTATTTTAAGGGTTCGCTTTTTCTGCCGTTAATGCAAATAAGTTATCTGCAGTAAGCTCAATACGACGTCGTTTTGGGCGGAAATCATGGTTTTTTGTAATTTTAATTTATTTCAGGGTTATAATAGTCTTTATATTTATAATTTTTTAAAATTTCAATACCAAAACGATGTCATTTTGGAATTAAATGCAGATAACTTATCCGCATTAACTGCAGAAACATTTTTCCCTTGTTTTAATCTTAAAATATTAAAATTATTTTCTTATTTTTCTTTAATTCACGTAGTTGATATAAAAATTTTAAATATACCTTTAATTTTTTTTAAAAAAAAAAACTTTTGTTTTTAAGAAAACACAAAGAAACCGATCAAAATTTAATCAACCATGCCACAAGTTAGGTAATTAAAGAGTTACCAATTGCTGCTATTATATCATTATTATGTCATATTAAAAAAGAAAAAATAAATCTAAATAAAATTAGAACAATTAAGAATGTAATTGTCAAAATATTTGTAAATATTATTGCTTAAATACTTTCAAATGGGTTCTTGTAAATAATTACAAGACCATAAACGTGGCTATTTAGAGAAAGACATCATTTTTGGTATTACCGTTGGATTGAATATTGGGTATGACTTTTATTCAAAATAAAATTAATAAGTTATGTATTTTTTCAAATATATAATTATAATATTAAATTATTTTTTTCTATATTTTAAAAAATATATCAGCTATGTATTATGCTTTTATTAATGGGATATAAGTACGACTCGGTATTATATTAAATAATGTCCCCCGAACATTTGCCAAAGAACAGAGGTGAGTTGATGGTTGATTCTGTCAAAGGACACAAGTTTCAATTAAAGAAGTTGGCGAGGATTTTATTAGGCACGGCCCCACGCAACTCACTACAATGGAAAAAATGTGTGTTCTTTTACTCACAATCGCACACTTTCCATCATTTTTTAGTAGAGGTTACGAGAATTGTCATGTTATCTAATCAATATGGATTTGCTCTTCTAAACATAGGATAAACTTTCTAAACACAAGATAAACTTCCACCTGTTTTTAATACATATTACATTTAACTTAAATTATAATAAATAGACTTGGAAAATTGCATTTACAATATTTTATTTATGTATTTATTTTTAAGGGTAGGAATGTAGGATTAACTTATGCAATATAAGAATAAAAAATTTATACTCAATAATTTAGATTATTATATATAAATACAATCAATGAAGGAAAAATTTATGTAATATGTTCGAGATTAGGACTAAAAATTTATCTAGTTGAACAGGAAAAATAGATTTTTAAATAACTTAATTACTTTCTTGAACAAAACATACCTTTTTTTTTTTTTTGAATACCTTTCGAAACAAACAATTTTTACCTTAAAAAACTTGTTTTCGTATTGAAAATTAGTTACATACGGGAATATCAAAGGTTGAACAAAACATCTCTGGCCAACCTTTGACAATGTTCCCCTTAGGTTTCATTTTTCATCAAAATTCCTATTAAATATTTTGCTGTTACCGTGATGAGAATAAATCAAAAAAATAAAGGCCGGGAACAAATTCAACAACGTACTTGATAACACAAAAAGGGTTTAAGCCCCACAAAAGTAAGGACGGAGCCAAGAATTTTTAGGTGATGAGGGACGAAAACCAAGCTGCAAGGCCAAACAACCAAAGCTCATGCCAATGGCCCCGGACAATCATGCCCTCTTCTAATGATTTTGAAGCTTTATGTCTCAGACACCATCCAACTTAAAAAATGCACTCTTTAACAGCACCAAAGCCAAATTTAGAGAGGGAAAACTTGAGATATAAAGAGGGAAAAACTCACCAAAGCCAAGAACTCCCAAAAGATGAGTCACCTGAACATTTATAGAGAGGGGGAAAAACCATCAAAATTGAAACTTGTTCAATATTGACATACCCAAATGTGAAATGACCATACAAGATTTAAATAAATAAATAAAACTTCAGCATAGTGTGTGGATAAGTTATGCCAAACAACTTGAAATTGATCCAGCCAATATTACGTGGATAAGTTCTCTGACCTATCATCAAAGCACCTTAACTACAAAAAACAATATAATGACAAAAAAATTCTCATAAATTAAACAACAGAAGAAGTGAACTTACTTCAGCGTAGTACAAAAAAAAGCAAAAGAGGACGAGGGACATATTTGGTGATGGAGGAGAATATGCAAGATGGAGCAAGAAAAGATGCTCCGAGTGACACAATTACATGATTGAAGTGCAGCTAGGAAACTAGTCTCATACAAGGACACCCCGAATTGTAAGGATTTGAACTTGCAATCTTTTCTCTAACTTTGAGTGTGTGGGTGTTACATGACCTGTTTCTCTTTTAAGGAATTTGAACTTGTTACTTCCAAATTGCATGAAATAAATAAAAATAAACACAAAACAAAGACATGCAGTGAATACCATTTGGTTGGTGATAGGGACCAATGGGATCACCACCCGAAAAGCTAGCTCAAAGAATGAGAGTTTCCAAGACTTTATAAATTCCACATTAGTTGCCTACAATCAATGTGGGACTCCTAATATTACCAACCCCACAGCGACTTTCACTCTGACCCAATGACTCTCAATGAAAGCACCAAATGATAAGGACCAATGAGATCATCATCCTAAAAGCTAACTCAAAGGGTGAGAGTATCCAAGATCTTATAAATCTCACACTAATTGCCTACACAATCAATGTGGGACTCCTAACAGTTGGTTCCAAAAATTACCTGAGAAGAGATGAAGTTTTGCAATGAGGTGTCGGAGCAGTGGCCAGAGCCCAGAAATCCTGAGAAGAAAGAGCAATGATGACCGATTATATTGGAAGCAGTGCAGAATAAAGAAAAAGAAGAATAAAGGAAAAGGGAGAACAATACACGGGAGGGAGTGGAAAGTTGTAACACCCCGTATATATCCGGTAATGTTATCATACTATCGTATTAGGCAGCGCTTAATTAAAAATGTGGAATATCTTTTTCTTTTCAATTATGAAGTCATTATCATTACCAACTTGCTTATTAATCAATTAATAAAACATCGCCTGTATGCAATTGCAATAAAACAGCTAACTGAAATACCTCATTAATTATAATAACATAATGTATGTCTCTAGTCACGGAACTACAACACGTAGACCGGACCACTAGCAGTTTATACAACTCGACTCAAAAGTACTAACAACATAGTGGCATGGACAACTCTCATGCTTACCCAAATAAAGCAACAAAGCCCAACATAAGTCTCAACTCAAAACATAAAGAGTAGAAATCATGAACAACATCCAATCCAGTCATGACAGCAATACAACATAAATATGATAATCAGCTAAGCTCTGGCCTCCTGCCGCCAGAGGCATCAGTCACCATACTACCTGAACCTGAAATAAGCATTCCCCAAACGTGGGGTGAGATCTCTAAACAAGAAATCTCAGTAAGACAAGGGGTCCTCAAGGATCTTCCACCCCAAGCTCACTTACATGTGCAATATAAGTTTAGAGTAAACACCATTTTTGGTCCCTGACAATATCCACGAAATCTTTTTTAGTCCCTAGCAATAAAAAATGACCAAATTGGTCCCTAACAGTATGTAAAAAGGGCCACGTTAGTGACGGAGGAGTTGACATAAGGACTAATGTGGCCCTTTTTTCATAATTTTAGGGACCAATTTGGTCCTTTTTTATTGTCACGGACTAAAAAAGATTTCGTAGATGTTGCCAAGGACCAAAAATGGTGTTTACTCATAAGTTTAAAAGTAGTTCATCAATATCATTTCTAAAACAGTGCAATGCAGCAGATAATCATGTCATGTGTGTCAATTCTATTCTACTGGCCAGAGAAATGCAGGATTTATATACGTCTAATACCCACAAATAGTGCAAGATACTACTTGCATCCACCCCGGATCACCGTCTTGTATGACGCTACATACTCAGGCTTACCGTCAAGATGGAACAACACATGCATATTAAAAGCCATTAACACATAAAGCTCAACAGCATTTCATATATCAAAAGCATGTAACACAACATGCATATAACCATACCCCCATGGGACATGGTGGAACCACAACATGACTAAAACGAGGACACGAAAGCTTACCTTGCAAGCTAACACCCAAAGCCAAGAGTCCACAGCTCAAAGTCCAAACACAGCAGATTCACAATCTGTTATGGACCAATAATATATCAATAAACATGCACCGCAAGCATACAATATTAAGACAATGCCTTTCCATTACGTTTTACGTCTTAAGGCCTCACACAAGCCATCAGCCCTTAATCACATGATTTTGACTTACATTAATTAATAACAGAAGTTCAACTTCCTCAAACTAGGGTCCACAAACCCATAGATCGGTTCTGGATGAACAGTACACTATTGTTCCTCGCAAACCCAGAATATCCAGATATTCCTCGGGGGCATATCCGGATATCCAATATCCGGATATCTCACTG